AATATAATTTGATCACTATACTAGTTTGCTACTTCTAATCACTAGTCGAAATAAGGCAAATCGAAAGTAAGGCAAATCGGCCAAATTTCAGATAAATTTCGGATATGATCGATAATCGGCTGACATTCGGCATAGCTGATTTGCGGTGCAAAATTCCGATTTTGGATATGATCGATAATCAGCTGCATATCAGATGACATTCGGCATAGCCGATTTGTGATGCAAAATTCTGATATTTGTTTCAAATTCTGATGTTTGCGCATTATAATATTTTGACATTCCGATAATTATATTATATGTAAATTTGACATTTAATAATTCCGATATTTGTATTGTATTGTTTTAACATTTAATAAATTTTGATATTTGTATTATTTGAAATTTGTATTATTTTAAAATTAAATAAATTCTGATATTTGTATTATTTGAAATTATATGTCATTTCATCAAAATAAAGTTTGAAAAAAATACTAATTTCAGCGAATATGAAATTTTCTATTGACTGGATTTACCGCTAAATAGACGTTTGAACTTCTCCTGCCTGAAATTCGGTATTTTGTTAGTATAAATCGGCCATGAATATGATGAACTGGAATAATACAGTCGCAGGATTCTGGATAAAACTTGGTACCCTATAATTCAACATTGCATATTTCGTCATCTCTAACTCTGAAATGATACCGAATATTTGATGATTCTGCAGGTTTATACCAGTGAATAAATGCTAGATTATGTTCAGATAACTCATCCGACAAATTAACGGCATGTGTAAAAAAGTATTGGACTTGTCCAGGATAGCAATCGATATCACCACTTTCTGTCATAAATTTTGCCAAGATAAATGAGCTTTTTACATGACGTGATGATATCAAAGAGCTGAATATTTCAGAACCAATTCGGCACCTTCCAAATTGATTCATTTTAACTTGAACTATTATCGAATCTTCTGCACCCTCTCCAAATGGTTTCCGAAATTCCATCATTTCGTAGCTCGCCATATAGTATTCAACTATTAAGTCAAGCATATCACTTGACATTACAATATCGTTAAATACTGGTCTGAGCATTTCGCCCGGAAATGCTTCTTTTTCTGTGGTGGTCGATTCATGAATGTTTCTTGAAGTCAACCAAAATTGCTTTATTTCATCAGCAGAAAATTGGTCAGCTTCTGATAGAGAGCCAACAGATGGTTTATTACTAATCAAATCTAGGCCCTTTGATTCCACGCCAGAATTAATGATATTACTGATTTGATTATCAAACATCAGGCGGCGCATAATTTCTGGTTCAATTTTCCTTCTGCTATTCGGAAAAGAGCCTAAATTTATTTTAAACAAAAGTTGATAAAAATGCATTATTTTAGAAAGTAACAAGAATATTTAAAATATTATACCTAACATGCCATTCATGCGCTCAAAGGAAAAACACCAGAATGTATATAAAGGTCCATAGTCGAGTGAGCATTCACATAAGTGAAGTGATAAATGTAAATTCGGTGTGATTTTATCACAACCGTAATTTTCTTCTATCAACTTCACTAGGTTAATTAGCCTCTGATTAAAGATGGTCATTGGTCCTAGAAGACCGCGGTCTTACGGTCCTACACCATAAAAAGACGGACCGGTCCGTCTTAGTGTAGAACCGCGGTCTTTTGGTCCTGTATCACATAGAATAAGACCGTCGGTCTTTTTAAGGACCGCAGTCTTTTTAAGACTGATCAGTCTTTTTTCTTTTTTTTGCAAATAAAAAAAGATTTTCTTCCCTAACTTTATTAGGAATAGCCTTGTTTTATAAATGAACACTAATTGGGATGATTTTTAATATAAATTTTTTTTTTTACAAATCACCTGGATATCATCACAACGTCATGCAAAATTTAAAGCTTTGAGAAAAAATACTTCAAAACGCAATATCTCGCTATCCAGTGATTATAAAAGGATGATTTTACCACCATTCGAATCGTCTCGCTGCGGCGCGTCGAATGGTATCAAAATCATGATTTTAGAATCGATAAAAAAAAAATTACGTCGGCAAAACTATTTGATAATAAATTCAATAATTACCGACTATCTATCGATCCTAGAAACATGATTTAGTCACCATTCGACGCGTCTCGCTGAGACGATTCGAATGGTGGTGGTTTCATCCTTTTATGATCACTGGATGACGAGATATTCCGCTTAAACGCTTTTTTTGGAGTTTCGGAGTTTCAGCATTTTGACAAGCAACTCTACAAGTGGGAAGAGTGATTGTTATTATTTATTGGTTTGGAAATGGCTGGTCTTTATATTATTTTATGAAGACCTTTGTCAGATTAATAGGTTTATTCAATATAAAAATCATTTATTATATGAAGACCGGTATGAGGACTGGTTGGTCCTCAGGACCGGTCCTACTGCGTCACAAAAAAATGCAAGACCGCGGTCTGGTCCTACAAGTCCTGGGACTGACCGGTCCAGGACCGAGTAGGACTGGTAGGACCGATGACTATCCTTACCTCTGATGCGCCTCTCTCATGAAATCGACTTCTACAATTTGACTTACTGAAATTGAACAAATTCTCACAAAATTCACGAGAATCTTTTGGTCATTCTCAGAAAGATGTTCCCAAAGAGAAACCGTTGCATATATTGTAAAAAATATTCGCCATTGATCCGCAGTAAAATTTGAAAACCCATCTCCACAATCGACTTTTTCCTGGATTCTACCCAAGTCAGCTGGAACTTTAAATTCATCCATTTTTTTTTGAACTGTTTTCAAAATATGTGTTATTAATACGCCATTTTCGATCTAAAGTCTTCTTACAATCCATTTTGCGATGCCCAGAAACAAGCAGTGTATCGGGTCAATTGTAATGAACCGAATTGGATCGAAATATGGTAGACGCAATAATTCGGACCATCTAACTCCAGTTTGCTTTACAAATTGCTTTCTTGCTGCGTCTGAATTACAGCGTCTCCATCCTATAGCATCTTGACGATGTTAAGCCAAATCACGGCAAGTAAACCATTCGTCCATTTCATTTATCCCAGTGAAATTATGCTACTGAATTTCATAATTCGCCTTCTTTTTACATCTATGACACGACACCAAAGCGAAAATATGCCCGCAAATTTTTCTTGCAGCCGGTATGTCACATGAAATAAGAATCAGAGCTGCGCGAATTCTTTTCCCTTCTTGACATTCATACGTTTGATTTAATGTCACTCCTTCCCAAAGTGACTTCAACTCATCAATGATTGGCACCAGATAGTGATTAATCTTATGTAAACTTATTTCATCTGGGCTGGATAATAAGCCAAGAATCAAGATATTATTGCGCTTGAATCTGACATCCCTCAGAAGGTTACCGATTGCAGCGTATATTACTCCGGTGTTGTGGATTGTGCCGTCGAAGGGTTGAAACCAATCCAAATTCAAAATCAATCTGAGGTGCGAATCAGCAACATCAGATCAGAAAAAATTATTCAAACTTTTATCTGTCATTTCTTTAAAAGTTTTCCAAACTTCACCATCATATATATCAGTTAGGATATTATCAAAAGTTGGACGATTTATCCAATGCCTTAGAGAATTTTCAAAGTTAGATTGACGATACATTGCTTTCAATTGCTGCTTAATACTCACAAACTGAAATAATAATTCAGGTTTGATTGAAATTTGGTTATTTAACAATGTTGTTTTCTGTGCCAAAGATGTTTGGCACAACCTTAATCTTCGAATTGTTGAATTAGGAAATTCGATATGGTAACACTTCATGATGGCAGGTTGCTCATTTTGGAGAAAACTTTTTATTTCCTGTTTGTTGTATAATTTGTGGCATTTGGAACACGCTACAAAACTATGAAACCGGTTTTCAAGATTAAGGGCTTTTCTTATTAGATATAAAGTGTCAGGAAATGTTTCAAAATCAGGACTACCGATTTCTGTTAGAACAAGCTTCAAGAATTTTATCAATGATTCTTTAGCTGTTTCTGGTAAGTTAAACCTGGTTCAGAAGCTCATGATTCATAATAATATCCATAAGAACCGATTATTTATTGATTGTTCAGTATCAGAATCTTGAAATGGTTCGAAAGGTAGACATGAATAATCTTCAAAAATTTTGTGGTATTCGTCATCATTGGATGGTTCATTATCGGATGATTCATTTCTATCATCTATATTTGCATTTTCCTCCTTAGTATATTCAGAAGATTCAGAAGATTTATCATCTACTATATCTCCTAATTCAGCAATTATAACCGGTCTAACATATTTTCTTGATCGTTGTCTACTAGGCAATTCAGCTTCCGATTCTCTCATTCGTGGTTCATCTGATATTGAGGCACTTTCATATAGTTCGTCACTAGGCAATTCAGCTTCATCAGGTAGATGTACTTCTGTTCTTTCTGAATCATCATCCTCTGAATCTTTGTTAATTTCATGGATAGTTTTCGTATGAGGATCTACTAATCGTCCATTACATTTAGAACAATTACATGCAACTAACCTTCCAATACGTGATGATGTAGGATAAGATTGATTTGAAGATTCTTCATCAATTATATTTGACACTGATCTGGTTCTTTGTATACGTGATGAAGGTATGGCATGAGGTCTAGAAGCTGATTCTTCATTGAGTATACTTGATAATGATCTTTTTCTCGTCATTTTTGTGAACATTTTTCGAAATAAAGTTAATTGTTAATAATATATCAATAATATCAATATAATTCGTTTAAAATACTTAAATTAGAATAAATTTTATTAAAATCATCAACTGCATCGATGTAATACTAAATTTATTAAAATCATCAATCTACACTTAAATTATAAATATAAATTATTCGTTTAATAATATTGATAATAAAATAGACTATTCGATCGATCAGTATGATGGCGAAAGTTTCTTAAAGTTTAATTTTTTAAATAAAACTTCATTTTTTCTCACCAACCTTTTCTTTTTAAAGTTTTAACGTCTAATACTCTTCGCAACCAAAAAAAAAAATAAAAAAATAATGAGCCAAAATTCGCAACCAAAAAAAATAATGATCCAAAATAGAAAAAATAAAAATACTGAAAAAGGTTTGGTTAGTGATAATCGAAATAAAACAATTACTAATATCAATAAAAGTTCGTTTAATATCCAATAAGCTGTTGAAGAGATTGCCACACCAATTCATGAGCGAGCTCAAACTACTAATATTAATAAAAGTTCGTCCAATATCCAACAAGCTGTTAAAGGGACTGCCACTCTAATTCATGAGCGAGCTCAAACTACTAACATCAATAAAAATTCGTCTAATACTCAACAACCATTTGCTACGCCAAGTCATGAACGAGCTCAAAGTGTAAAAGAGAGATATAAAGATCTTCGGCTTCCGGATTCGTCCAATACTCAACCACCATCTGCTGCACCAAGTCATGAACAAGTCCAAAGTGTAAAAGAGAGATATAAAAATCTTCAGCTTCCGGTCAGATATCAAACTAATGAATCTACCCGTGATGATGATGATGCATCAACAGGTTTGTATCGTGTATATATCATCAGTTAGATTTAGTATTTTTTTTTGTTGATTTTACATTTTTATACAGAGAATCAGAGGTTATCTCAAGAAGTATCTGATTTGCGTGCGAAGTGTTTACAGTTAGAATGACAAAATAATGAATTAACCAAACATACATACAGCTGTCATTGCCACTGAAATAGCTCGCTTACGAGAAGATAACAAATTTTTTGCTGGTGTTAACGCAGAATTCAGTTCTGAAAATGACGACTTAAAAGAAGAGGTTAACGAATTAAAAACGAAACTCGAACAATACCAGATACGATCATCATCTGAAAGCCTTGATGTTATTGATGTTCCAGAAGAACAGTTAGCAAAACAGTTCAAATCAGATGGGTCAAAAAAAGGAAAGAAGACGGTACACTACGCTGAAAATCAACCAAAAGAAGAACAAGAAGAACAACGTGAAAAGGAGGCGAGAGTTTGTAATTTTGTAATTTTAGGCAGAATTGTACAGTCTTTATACTTTTATACTAATTGTTCTGATTTAAAGATTGAAATGAAAATGATCCTCAAAACTATTAAACCTAATGACAATTTGGATGATAACGAAACGTTTAATAGTCCAAAAAATGTTGAAATTCGCAGTAGATTAATTCCCGAACTTCGAAGGGCGATGTTTC